AAGTATCGTCATTCCTTAAGAGTGCCTACTTTTTTAATAATGAACTGTATGCCTAAGAAATTATTCATCCTATTTTTTTTTTTTTACATATCTCTCTATATTAAGTTAGATAATATATGTAATATGTTTAAATGACTATAGAGAGGAGAACATTTTATTTGTATTTCATTGTCTGAAAATTTTTTTTATATATATTAATGGAAAACAATGCACAAAATGGTTTTTAATAAAATAATAATAATAAAAAATTGAATGAAAATTAAAAAAGTATTTAAGAAATGAAAATAAAATACAGCACATGTTCTATAGCTCTTAACACACATACATTTATAAGTGGTGTGCTATAATAGTAAATAATTTTACAGTTTTGTATTTATGCAGGTGCCCTATCGATCTCTGTGTTCATGGAACCTTCTTCACCTGGAACAGGACCCGCTTCTAAAGAATCTCCTACCATAGTTACATCATTTTTTTCATTTTCTGCTCCCATCCAAACTCCAGTCTTTAGAGATCCATCTTGATTTTTCTTCATCTCCTTATCAGAAAAAACTTTATTTAAAATTCTTATTTTATTAAAGCTTGTTTTTTAAGTTACTAACACTTACTTCTAAATCTTGTTTTGCAAACTTTTCAAACATATTTCGATATGTTTTACGTTCCTTATCGAGTTGTGCTTTAATCTTATTATTGCAATTAAGAATTTGATTATGAGCTGCTTTATTTTTTGGATCTATGCTTAACACTTTCTGAAAGTCTTTTTTCGCCAACTCAAATTCATTCTGACTAAAATATGCCTACAAAAAAGATATTTTAAAATTTAATTTTATACAAAATTTAACAACAATAACAAAATTCTGTTTATGAACTAGGGCTAACCATTCCCCTCCGAAAGTATCCTTTTTCATTCTCCGAGTCTAGTTCGATAGCTTTGTCACAATATTTGATTGCTTCTAAGTAATTATTCAATTTTAAATTGCACATTGCTAAATTGAGATATCCAGCTAACATAAGAATATTTCTTTTCTTCGTATCATCATCTGATAATGATGTTTCATATTCAAGAAAATCAATTATCTTCTTATATTGTTTAACAGCTAGATTATATTTCCCTGCCTGTAAAAAAAGTGAATGTTTTATTATTATACAAAANATTTTTTGATATTTCTGACTGCTCCAATTTTTCATCACTATCCATTTCCCATGAACCCTTAGTCTTACAAAAAAATAAAACATACCAACATTAATATGCATAATTATTTAAAATTTAATTCAAATACATTTTAAATATTAAATTACTATAAAAACACACTAAAAAACTAAAATATAAAAGTATTACAGAAAATATATATCAATTTCTACCTCTTGGATTATTTTAAAATTTTATATTAAAATATTTTTTAACATACATGGTCAAACAATGCCTTAATTAAATAAAAAAAAATTAAAATGCAGTAATTATACGACATATCAAAATGATCCAAGCACCAAAATATGGTAAAACGATAAAAGTTTTGGAGTGTGAGATGCCATTGATCTTGAGATGTGCAGTGCATTTGTGTGTATATATATATATATATGAATTTGTATATACTATAGAATAAATAGAATTTGTATATGCTAACTCTTAGCCTTGTTCTTGCACTCAGTCATGTGGCCCATGAAATAGAAAGTGTTGTTTGTTTTACAATAAATTAAATTGAAACCAGTTGTAGCAGTTCAATGTATGTGGCAACAGTTATATTCTGGACAAACAGCATTAGATTGCAAAGCATTTATTAATCATTGCTTGCAACAGTTCAGAAAATTGGAGAAGTACCACAAATAAATCTACAGGCTAACCAAATACTTTGGAATAATGTGTCAAACACATTAGACTATGTGGTGTAAGGATCCTTAAAGCAATTTTTCATGAGAGAAATTGATTCCAAAAACTACAATTCAAAACGTCCTTCACAAGCATTTTCACCTTCATGCTTCCAAGATTTTGCTGAAGCATGACATTAAACCTGATGAACAGTATACATTAAGAATTTCCCACTTTAATGCTAAACAAAAAATCCAGAAAACTTTCATGGCAACAACATTTAAAACCATGTTTGGCACCATCTGTTATTATATTTTATTAAAATAACTTTTTATATTTTTATTATAAAATAGCAAGAAGCTTTAATTTTGAGGATATGGACAAGTTTTATAAAAAAAATTGTAAATGCTAATAACAAGTAAAATCATCAAGTCTGACCCTATTTGAGATATGACACACAATTCACTCTATTTCCCCACCTCTGACCTTTAAACACCAAGATTTAATAGCATCAATCCCCTAATACATAAACCTAGAAAATTTCAGAAATTTTCAATGAAAGGCATGAAAGTTATTAAGTTTCAAAGTGGATGAACAAAATCATGCCTACACACACAGTAACAACTATACATAAAAAAAACCCTGAATTTTCTTGTATTTCTCTATGTTTTAAGGTCTTGAGTCCAAAATGATAAAAATCTTGGAGATCAATTTTTTACTGATTACTATACTTTTCCTCTTATATATAATAGCCAGGAAAGTAAAAATGATGATAAAACTTTTCTATTTCAGGTTTTATTCACAGACTAAAACCTAGTCATCATCCAGATTTTATCATAATGGACAGTGTTGTGGGGATATATCAAAAACATTGCATATGCTGAAAGGATTTGGGGGTCAACATCTAATTATTGTATGAAAATGACACAATAGAACAAATTTCTGGTTTTTAAAAGTATATGCATTATTTATTAATCTAAAAATTATAATGATTATAAAAATGTAAAAATATATGAGAAAACATTACTCTCTTCATAAAATTCTCATTATATATAGAAATTTTATTTAAAATAACCAATATAACTTTATCCAATAATTTTTTCTAAATTTCTATTTTTATATATTAATTTTCACTAAATTCAAATATTAAAAGCTTGATTTAAAGAAAAAAAAAATTAGTATTCTTAAACTCTAAACCAAATGTTGAAGCTTAAGATTGATATTCAAACTGACCAATATAATGTAAAACTACAAGCTAGAATTTATAATTTGCATCAACCATATCTTGATGAAACTGTATGTGTGTCTGTGTGTGTGTAAAATATTAGTTTTCTATAAATTAATATAATAATAATAATTATTTTTATTTTTGTAATTGTATTCAGAAAGATAAATTCTTATTTCTATTGACAATATTTATTTTTGAATTCAAAATCTATCTTTGATTACACTGTTCATCTTAATCACTGGATGCATATATTGTTTAGGATAAAAACTGGACATAATACTAATAAAGCTCAAAAATAGCCCATTCATCATGCACTACTAGTCTAATGTAGGACCACTATTAATCTTATGCTGAGAAATTTTAAATTTGAGTTTTACAACAACAACATTTTATAGGAAAATCATAGAAGACAGAAGAAAATTAGAAATGTGAACTGCAAGAACATAATACAAAAAAGTTCATAAATAGCCCACTGAAAGATCATTGGAACATATGGTTATAAATCATAAATTAATTGCAAAAATATTTAATAAGAAAATCAATAAATACAGTACATCAATTATAAGAACTAAGTTTTCTAATGTTATCACCTTTATATGAAATAAACATTCTAAAATAGTTATTTTCTATCATCATTTACTGAATTTTAATGATTTAGCATCTGCATCTAGCAAACATTTAGGAAAAAAATGTTTGCATTTTACATAACTTATTTTTGTTTTTCTCATAAATATTGCCATTTAGAGATGAAACATTCAAGACATTTTAAGATCTATTTTCATACTATCAAGCATTTTTTTAAAAAAAGAATTTAAAGATACATTGAAATATGATCATTTAAGAAATATTATATTTCTGCTGATAAGTATCTGTTAAAAATTTGTGAACAGAGGTAGAGTCATTTTTCTTCAAAGCAAAAGAACCAATAATAAATATAGAAATTTAAATTTAATAACTGTTGGAATAAATGTCATTTAATAAATATAATGTTCTTAATAAATAAATTGTTTAATAAAAATATTAACATAATTTTTTAAATATTTAAAACTTTTCAGATATCAAATTACTTTAGACTTATTCGAGCTAAATAAACAAGACAGACAAAAACATAATATTGTACAAACATTGAATTCAATTATAAGTGTATACAATTATTATGCATATTTTTATTTTAATGTTTGAAAGTTTTATTAATTTATTTCCAAAAAATTTACTAAATTCAACAAACCATCTGAAGTATGTGTTTTAATATGACTGGTTAACATTGAGATGTAGATCCTCTTGTCCTTGTAGCAGAAATTTCTTTCAATAGTATCTAATATAAATTTTAAAAAATTAATTGGAAATTTATAATTATTAAACTTAAAATAATATTAATGCTTAAATATGATTTTATGTAAATTCTATTTATAATTATCGGAATGATTGATACATGATGGGCAAACTATTTCATATGAACAATAATTGTTCATTTGTATGGTAGTTTGATAATATTACAGCATTTACTGATTTACTGGCCATATTACACCAAGATATGGTTGAGAACTTACTGTAATAATGAGTGTAAATCTAATATAAAAAGAGAGTACAGTTGAGAAGAATAGTAAATTTGGTTAAAAAATAAGCTCTTAATAAAAAATTTATAATT